CAGAACCATGAAGGCATCATGGTTCTGATACTACAGGATCAGAACCTTTCCACGGGTCTGAGTTAGAATCAGTTTTTCAGCAGCTGACCCAGAAACTGGTCCTGGTTCTGGACTGAATGAATCATGAAGTTACATCAGTGTGATTAATAACTATTTATTTAGTGAATTTTCTGATAATTAGATCAATATAGTATGATATTAACTGAAGGTGTAAATATTGTGATTATGGGAGTAAAACTAGATCATTTATCTCTGTTTTCCAGCTTCTCTGATAATAATTATAATTATTCACATTTATGTCAGATTGATGATAAGAAACTCTTTTATTAATGAGATCAGTTTGATTTTAAATGTGTATTAGAGGTTTACTGTGAGATTAAACCAGACTAAACTGATCCAGTCTGGATTAACTTCCTACCAGAGATCATTTCTAGACCAGTTCATCTGATTTCCTCAGGCTGGCAGGAAGAAACCGTTACTCTGATGAGATGACAGACAGAGGGGAAGCTTGGATCATCCTAGCTGTGAAGTATGGTGGTGGCAGCATGATGCTGTGGGACTGATTTACTGCAGGAGGGACTGGTGTCACAGAACAGAACCGAACCAACAGAACCAAACCGAACAGAAGTGATGGTATCATGAGGAAAGAGGCAGAGAACGGAGATCAGCCTCAGTTTAATGCTTCGTCAGTGCTAACACACACCTACACACACCTACACACACCTACAGGTCACACACACCTACAGGTCACACACACTGCTCTGCTGGCTGCAGGCAGCCGGCAGGTCAAAGGCCACTAGCGTTAGCATCGTCCTGAGCTCAATCAGCTCTGGTTAGTATCGTCCAGCATGAAGTCTCTGCCTGGAGGTCAGAGGTCATGCAGGGTCATCTTCAGTTGTGAGAAGCAGCGGTGTTTCTATGGTAACCGTCTCTAGCAGCCCAGGCCGCTGATGGAGCCGATCCGGTCCAGCTTCATCCCGAAGCATCCTCTTCCTCCTGCCATGGCCTTGTGGCTCCGCCTCCTCGTCTTCACCCGCTGCCGCAGGAAGTCCAGGAAGAGCCGGGACACCGCTTCCTGTCTGCTGGCCAATCCGCTTACGTTACCGTGGCGACTCAGGGCCTGCCGCACCAGTGGAGGAGGGGAGGTTGGCGAGGAGGCAGAGCCCTTTGTGATGTCATCAGGTGGGGGCGTGGCCTCGATGAGGGAGGCGAGGTGAGAGCCGAACAGAGAGAGAAACACCTGGACAAACACGCAGGTAACATCAATCACATGACCAGACCGACCAATCAGCTGGCAGAGCCACACACTGAGGATGAAGGACACACCTGCTGCTCATCGTTCTGAGGTGAAGAACTCGTTTCCATGGAAACCAGGAGCAGGAGCAGGAGGCCCACCAGAGCAGAGGAGGCGGCGGCCATCTTTATTTACAGACAAATATAAATTAAAACCTGATAAAAATCATCAGAAAGTTCAATATTTTTCTATGTTTGTTACCAAAATAGAAACTAGACGAGTTTTTATTAGATTATTAATGAAACTTATTTATTATGAATTTAAAATAAACATCTGAGAGTTTTTAAATATTCAGAATCAAAGATGTGAAACAGGAACCAGTTCTGGAGTTTAACATTAAAGACAGAAAAACTTCATCAGTGTTTAAACTTGGCTCCTGTTTCACTGAGAGCTTAAACAGGAAGTGATGCTCGTCTACTTCCTGTGAGCCACTGATCCGTGACCCCTGACCTTTCCCCCTTAGCAAAACGCTTCAGATTAAATTATATTTTCAGATTCAGTTTGAAACTAATTCATATTTCCTGGAAGAGGATGAGAATCATTAATGATCCAAAATGATCCTGAATTCAGGAAATATTTAGTTTTACTGATGAAAAATGTTAAAGGTTTAGAAAAAGAATCAGTGAGTTATTCAGTTACATCCTCATTAACTTAGATTTAACAGGTAAAATATTTATTATTAAACTATGGATTATTAATAATCATTATTTGTTCATTTGTAGTAATGACTATATATTATTTAGAAATTACAAAACTATTTAAGTACATCCGTTTCCACCACATTACTAAAGGATTAACAGTTACAATTATAAAATTATTATAAATTATCAGAATTTATTTATTAGTAAAAATAACTATTATTACATAATAAACCTAATTATATCAGTTATTGTTTATTACAAAGTAAAATTATTTATTACATTTTCTTCTCTAATTATTTTTATTATTCAATTACAAACTGAATCAAACTACATCAGATTTTATCACCGTTTGAACCTGAAAGCACCAGAACTTACTGCTAGCAGTCGGGTCCAAAAGGAGCAGATTCTGGTCCTGGTTCTGGTCGGTCCTGAGACGAGCCCGGCCGGGTCTGCAGAACAACCTCAGAGTTCTGTTTTTATACGACTCGGCGCCGTGATGTCACACATTCTTTGGGTCACCGAGGTCTTCATGGCGTCGCCCCGGCAACGCTGCCTCACACACACACACACACACACACACACACGGGTCAGTGATGGAGACATGGAGAGGAAACGATGTCCAGAGATTCATGAACGTCCAGAACCATCTGGGTCAGAACCAGAACCAGAACCATGCTGGGCCAACTCTGGTGGAGGCAGCATGGTGCTGTGGGACAGAGCTCAAGGCTGGAGGTAATGAGACCATGATGTCTCTGCTCTGAGGAGCCAACCTGACCTCTGACCTCTGAGGGACCAGCTGATCCGTCTCCTCTCAGGCGTCCAGGATGAAGAATCATCATCTTCGTCTTCTCAGCCAATCAGATCGCTGATCTCTCCATGACACTGCTCCTGCTACTGATCCGTAACCCCTGACCTTTCCTTCAGCTGTTGCCATGGAGACCATGTTGTTGTCAGGAAGTATTTCATGTGGAAGGGGGCGGAGCCTCAGACGTCTGTGCTTAATGACCCTGTGGCCTTTGTCCCGTCAGACGAAGCCCCGCCCCCATTCAGCCTCTGACGTCATCAGATCCACATAAAACACACACACACACACACTGCCAGAGGACAGCAGGTCATCCATCACTACAGGCCACAGCAGCAACAGAACCAGGCCAGAACCTGCTTCTGGTTCTGATGGTTCCTGGAGAAGGACCGGATCAGAACCGGTCTCCTTGTCCTCACAGGGCCAGATAATCCCGACCAGCACACAGGGTTACCTGAACCATCCTGAGGGTCTGGGTCAGGCCTGCAGCGGGTCCAGTAATGGTTCTGGAGCACATCAAACTCTTCCTCCTCCTCTTCCTCATGATCCTGTCGCTCCTGGGACTCGATTCGGCTGCTGGTCATCGCCAGGCAACAAGCTGCCTGCAGCACAAACTCCTCAGCCAATCAGCATTGACGTCACAACGCAGTGTGTGTGTGTGTGTATAATGAATAGCCTCCTGCTGAGTTGAGTTTCCCATCAGGCTGAAATCAGCTGATCTGAACTTTGTGGCGTTCTTGTAGCGCCCAGCAGGGGGCAGGCTGGGTCACCATCAGTAATGAAGCCAGACTCAAAAACTTTATTTGTTTTTATTTGTTTCTGTTTCTCTGAGTTTTGATAGAAAACACTCTTTATGGAATAACCACTGTGAGGGCGGGGCTAATGGCCCCCCACTGTGAGGGGGAGGGACTTCAGGGATCCCCAGCCCGTTGTCATGGCGATGGCGAGGCGGCGAGGCGGCGGCTCAGTTGATCTTTGGGTGGCGGAAGTCCTTCCCAGCGAACTTGGCTTTGTCTCCCAGTTCCTCCTCGATCCTGCAGGAAGCAGACGGTTGGTCACTCTGGAACAAAGACTTTTATTTTGGAGGAATCAGGAAGTGCTCACCTCATCAGCTGGTTGTACTTGGCCAGACGCTCTGACCTGCAGGGGGCGCCAGTCTTAATCTGAGAAACAGAGGGAGCATCATTAGTGAAACAACCAGCAGGAGGCAGAAGAGGACACGGTTCTGTTGGTTCTGATCCGGCTGGCCGGTGGCCCAACACCCAACCAACCTGTCCAGTGCAGAGTCCAACCACCAGGTCAGAGATGAAGGTGTCCTCCGTCTCTCCAGAACGATGGCTGACCATCACACCCCAACCACTGGTCTGAGCCAGCTTACACCTGGGGGACAGGAGGACAGGGGGGACGGGAGGGTAGGAGGGACAGGGGGGACAGGAAGATAAAGATACTATGTCAGAAAGGCACAAGTGGATAAAGAGACAGACAGGTGTCCAGGTGTCTTACGCCTGGATGGACTCGGTGACGGAGCCGATCTGGTTGACTTTGAGCAGCAGACAGTTGCAGGCCTTCTTCTCCACCGCCTGCTGGATTCTCTTTGGATTGGTCACCGTCAGATCATCTCCTACAATCTGATTGGTCAAGACAGATGGACAGGTGAGTCAGGGCAGCCATGTTGTTCATCAGAAACACCTGTCCCCCTAGATCTCACCTGGATGTCCACAGAGGCAGTGAACTTAGCCCATTGCTCCCAGTCATCCTGGTCAAATGGATCTTCAATGGACTGAACTGGAAACCAACAGAGACCAGAACTTTAGTGCAAGGAAGGTTCTGCTGCCCCCTTCTGGTAGACTAACGCTACTGCACTGCTCTGCTTTCTACATACATGCCAAGGTTGGTTCATTTAGAGAGAATCTCTTTAAGTGACACATTCAGTTATAGCTGTACTTGTTCTGACTTAAGTCCAAAGACCCGGTAGGGTTCTACCAGAGAGTCCAGCTGTGTTTGTAACAAACTGAATCTCATTCAGACTTTTAAATGATCAAGTTGACCCGGCGCTCGTTGTGACTCCGGTTCAGGATTTGTTTCCTGCAGTCGCTGCCTCCAGGCGGCTCCAGGTGCCTCCATGAGGCTCCAGGTGCCTCCATGAGGCTCCAGGTGTGTCCTTACCTGGGTAGCCCTTGATGAAGCTGCGGTACAGGTCTCCCAGCTGCTCTCCACTGATGTGTCTGGACGGGTCGTCGGGGGACTTGAAGTCCAGGTCGTACTTTCCGTTGCGGAAGAACTCTGAGGCGGCCACATCCATGCCGATGATGATCTTATCGGGGTAGCCGGCCTTTTCAATGGCCGTCTTCAGCAGCTCCAGGGCTGCAGAGACACAGCCAATCAGAGCTCTGCTAGAACCACGGTCAGTCCAAAGTACCTTCAGAACCGGCAGCTGGAGCTCACCCTCGTTGTTCTCCAGGATGTTGGGGGCGAAGCCTCCCTCATCTCCTACGTTGGTGGCGTCTTTGCCGTATTTGGCTTTGATGACGTTCTTCAGGTTATGGTAGACCTGAACTCAACGAGACAGACATGACTGGTGAACGCAGTGAAGCCCAGGAAGCAGCGCCGCAGGTCAAAGGTCACGGTACCTCGGCTCCAATCCTCATGGCCTCATGGAAGTTTGAAGCTCCTACAGGTAGAATCATGAACTCCTGCATGGCCAGCTTGTTCCCAGCGTGACTTCCACCGTTGATCACGTTAAAGGCCTGAGGAGACATCAGAACCAGGTGAGACAAGCTGGACAGACGGTTCCTGATGTCCGAACAAGACTGGTCCAGTCTGGGTGAAGTCTGCCTTTACTGGACAAGAGCTTTCTAAATAATATAAATGAAGTAAAAGCCCCTCCCACTTATATTAAACCCCTCCTTCCATCAAACCCCGCCCTTTCCCGGTAAGCCCCTCCCACTCACAGGAACAGGAAGGATGACGTCTTTGTGTCCAGCGAGGTCGGCGATGTGGCGGTAGAGAGGGACGCCCTTCTCCGCCGCTCCGGCCTTACAGACGGCCAGCGACACACCCAGGATGGCATTGGCTCCAAACTTAGCTGCAGACAGAGACGTGGACACTCAGGACAGAGACAGATGAGGACAGAGACAGGCAAGGTGGACAAGTGGACCGGTCTTTACATTTGTTCTCTGTGCCGTCCAACTCCAGCATGAACTTGTCGATTTTCTCCTGCTCGACAACACTGAACTTCTGGAAGACAGATGGACATGAGGACAGACGGGTAGGTGGACATGAGGACAGACGGGTAGGTGGACATGAGGACAGACAGGTAGGTGGACTCTACAGAATCCCTCCAAAGCAGGTGACCCCTGACCCCTGGCAGATACCTTCTCGATCAGCTGGGGGGCGATCTCCTTGTTGACGTGGTCCACAGCCTTCTGTGTCCCTGTGGACAAACCCAGGTGTTAGCAGGACACTGGGACGTTCCCGCCTGTCCTCCCAGGTGTCCTCCTACCTTTGCCCAGGTAGCGGCTCTTGTCTCCGTCGCGGAGCTCCAGGGCCTCGTGGACTCCAGTGGACGCACCGCTGGGGACGGCGGCCCTGAAGAGACCTGGACACGGTTGGACGTTAGTGACCCTGAGGGACACCTGAGGTGCCTCAGAGCTGCTGCTCACCTTTGGCCGTCCACAGGTCCACCTCCACGGTCGGGTTCCCCCTG